TAGCATAATGATAACATCGCTTCCCCTTTCCGTTCGTACGTCATCGATCCATTTTGACGTTTGATGAAACGAATTGGCATCTGATGATTGGGGAAAAACAACAAAAAAATTTTTTTTTTTTACAAACTTTTGCGCACATTCATTATTTAAAAAAAAAAAAAAAAAAAGAAAGGAGGTTTGGAATCGAATTTTTTTTTTCCTTTTGTCCTTCTTTCTCCCTTTTCTCCCCCCTCCCTCCCCTTTCCCCCTCTTCACCCCTTATCCTTTCATTTATTCATCACTTACTTGTAATATCATAAACAACGACGGCTACCGTTGAATCTCTAATGTAAGATGGTATTAAACTCCGAAACCTTTCCTGTCCAGCGGTGTCCCAGAGTTGCAGTCTTACCGTCCTGTCTTCGAGATACATTGTTTTCGATAGGAAATCTATACCGATTGTTGCTTGGTATGTATTGTCAAAACTATCGTACATGAACCTCGTTATTAATGACGTTTTACCCACTGAAAAAAAAAAAAGTATTAATAATAATAATGATGATAATAATAAAGAAATTTTCCTTCTTTTTTTTCCATCGATTTTTCTCATTCTTTTCTTTTCTTTTCTCTCTCTCTCCCCCCTCTCTTCCTTCCTCTCTCTCTCTTTCTTTCTTTAAATAATAAACATGGTGAAAAATTATTATCATTATTATTATTATTATTATTATTATGGATTAATGCCGGATCGTAAAAAAAAAGTCGTAAAAAAAAAAAAAAAAAAAAAAAAAAAAAAATCGAAGTCGAAGTAAGTCTCGGTCCTCAATAAGGTTGCAGAAAAGAAAAAAAAATTTTTTTTTAAATTCTTTATCACCAATAATATTATTATTATTAATATAGTTTTCGAAAGCGTTGATGATGATAATGATGATGATTTTAAATAATTAATTATTTATTTAAAAAAAAAAAAAAAAGAAATCGTATCGGTAAATATATATTTTTAATAATCGTTTCGCTCTAACGAACTAACTGTAAATTTATTCGTATTAATTATTATTATCATCATTATTATTATCATTATTATTTAAATTAATTCAAAATTTTCTCTTTTTCATTGTTGTTGTGTACAGATGACTTGTGGAAAACAAGTTTTTTTTTTTTTAGAGAGAGAGAAAGAGAAAGAGAAAGAGAGAGAGAAAGTTTTTTTTTTTTTTTTTGCTGCCGGGTAAAAATTAATAAAAATTTTTTCGCTTTAAAATAATAATAATAATAATAATAATAATAATAATAATAATAATAATAATAATAATCGTATGATCATTTTCCTTTTCCTTTTTTCCAGTAATAAAAAAATAATTTTATATCAAGAAATTTTTATTTATTTATTTATTTATTTATTTAAACAATGAATTTTTTTTTTTTTTTCCTAAAGTAAATTATTGATTGGAAATTCCAAGTGACGAGTCTCTATGACTGGGCCGGGAGAGAGAGAGAGAGAGAGAAAATAAAAAATGGCAAAGTCATATTTATAAATAAAAATGGTAATTTTTTTTTTTTTTTTTTTTTTTAATAAATATGATGGATCGTTTTATAAATAATCACAAAACGTTGTAATAAATCATATACACATGACGAAATACAATTTCTTTCCCCTTCCACCCCCCCCCCTCTCTCTCTCTCTCTCTCCCCACATACACACACATACACACACACACACACACACTCATACACACAAACAACTGTAATAATTAATTAAGAATGATATAAAGTCATAAATGAAATGCAAGTTTTAATCTCAATTACAACAAAGGGATTAAAATTAAAATTAAAATTTTGAGTCGAAATACAAATTTCAATTTTAATTTTTTTTTTTTTTTCTATTCCCCCTTCATGATAATGATGATGATGATGATGTTGATGATGATGATGATGATTGAACTGTTAGTAAAAAATTTAATTAATGTTTTCAATCATTTCCCTTTAAAAACTAATCGAAAAAATTAATAAAAAAAAAAAAAAAAAACTCGATTCATTCGATTTCTTTCTTTTATGCTTTTTTAAAAACTTGATAATAAAAAAATTTTTTCATTACAATCCATTATTGATAACTACTAATTAAAAAAAAAAAAAAAAAGAAAATATTAACCATATATATTAATACTTTGATTGAAATTTTTAAACGAAAAAAAGAAAAAAGCTTAAAATTAATTATAATAATAATCGATGGTGATGATGATTTCAATCGATATTGATTAAAATCGAATTTTAAAAAAAAAAAATTACAATTTAAAATTTTTGTTTATTTGTTTTGATAATTAGCCATTTTAGAGAATATTCGATTTATTGTAATAGTTATTAATATCATTAAACGGTCTAAAAACAATGATAAACAATAATGATAATTGAATTAACGACATTAATGTAGTTTTCCTTAAAGGTTGCTCACATTGGAGTAAAAAGAGAGAGAGAGAGAGAGAATGATTTGTGTGACATATGTTTAATTAAAAATATGAAATGTTAAACATGATTAAAAGATTTGAATAATTTAAAATCTTATAATAAAATTTAACGAAAAAGAATAATTTACTCGGAATTTCCTTAGTTATCGTGCTATTATTACAAATTTTTCATGATGTTCAAAAAAATTTCCTCTTTTTAATTGAATATATAAAATATGCATCACATTTCATTTGTAAATGTAAAATATTATTATTATTATCTTCAATGTAAATTTGTTATTATCAAATAAAGTTGAATAATATTTTGTCGTTTTAAAATTTTTATTTAACTTTAATAATACAGACATTTTTAATCTTTCTTTCTAATCTTTAAACGTATATTATTTGTGTACGGTTTTTTTTTTTTTTTTTTTTTTTTGCAACAAAACCAACATTACAATTTCTTTTCATTGTTTTATCTAACACTAACACAATAATAATCTACGTTAGATTTTTTTTTTTAAATATTTAATTTTATTCAATTTAAAGTCCACGTATATATGTGACTCACTTATTATGTGCCCTAGTTTTATTTTAATTGTGCTTGAGGGTTTGTTCAGGTATTCGTCCGGTCAATTTAATTAGCAAAGTTTGCACAAATGATTTTTCGTTCATGGCAACAAAAAAATTTTTTCTTTCTTTTTCATTATATTATTATTTTTTCGAATCGATATAAATAAATATTGAATATTCGATAGGATATAGATAGAAATGAGTTTAAAAAAAAAAAAAAAAAAAAAAAAACCTACCACTCTGCTCTCCTAAAAATACAAGCTTGAACTTCCTAAGTGGATTTCCAAAATCACCGGAGGATGACATTTTCACTGATATTAATTAATTTTAAACCGTTAATAAAAAAACCCTAAATGTATTATTCTCACGTTATGAAACCAACTTTAATTAATAATAACATTTAAAAAAATCTTATTTTGACACTGACAGCCCCTCCTAATTTTAATACATATATTTTTTTTCGCCACGTTATGAAGGAATGACGTCAAAATTTAATGAACTGTGCCTTATGATTTCCCGCTCAATAAGGGTTTAACCGACACTAATACGAAATCATCGATAAAACGATATTATTTAACGAAAAATACATTTAACTCAGTTTTACACACCCAATTAATAAACATTATAATAAATTTTATATTTAAAACTATTTTAAAATAATACTTTATCTTAATTGAATCGATTTCAAATTATTTAATAAATATATTTTTAATTAAATTTTAAACCGTTTTTACCTTACGTAACATTTTATTCCTTTGTTTGAATAATTCTGAACGTACTTTTTTGGTCTGTTAAGGTGGTAATAATAAATAATTCTCAATGCATTAACGGTAATTTTTAAATAGATAAAAATTCAATTTTTTTTTTATTTTTCTTATTGTTTTATTTATTAAAATGGAAGATACTGAAGAATTCGATGAATTTCTATTTGATTCCATCACGAGGTAAATTTTTTTTGTAATGCGTTCTATTTTTCTTTTGGAGCAAACCCTTTTTTTTAATAATTTGTTTCGTTTGTTTTTACATCATTTATTTTTATTAATAATTATTAACACATTAACGAAACATTTTCTATCAGGCAGTTAAACGTTTTTTTAATTATAAAATTTCGTTTCAGGTATAACACGTTACAAATGTTTAATTTAAATAATGTTCCAAATCATTTAATTCAAATGGATAAAATATCTGTGTGCATTGTTAGTCAAAGTGAAAAAGGTGCAAATTCAGAATTATTGAGATTACAATTACCTAAAAAACTCGCATTGCCTCCAGAAGAAGAAGGTAGAAGTAAAGATAATGATTTTAAAGTTTTATCAGGAGTTTATACTGAAAATTTAGTGCATAGAATCGATGGATTATCGAATGATGAAAAAGTTATCGTTTCTGAGAAAAACATGGCTGGTTTAAAAATTTACAACCTTAATAATAATGAATCTGGTAAGTTTTAAATTATTAAATTTGTTTTTAAAATTATAAAAATGAAAATAAGTTTTTTTTTCCTATTAGGAAAACCACAACCGGAGAGTATTTCTAGTGTACCATGGATGAGTTCAGAATTTTATATTATCAATAAAACCAATAACGTAGTTTGTTGTAAAACAAATCATGATCCAATCGTTTTAATCGATTTACAAGTTAATAAGAAAATTCAACAAGTTGATTATCCTATGAAATGCAAACAACATAATCTTGCTAGTCTACAAAATTATGAAAATAGTAAAATAAATTGCCATAATAATTGTGATATTAAATGCCTACCATTAAATGAAAATACAATTTCGATATTAAATTCAAAAACTGGCGATTTATCAATTTACGATTTTAGAAGTGAAAAATGTTTTGTAAATATTAATAACGAAACAAAGGAAGCAAATATTGTAGAGAATTGGACAATGTCTAAAAGTGATGATAAAAATTCATTTCCTAATCATTTTGGAATTTTATCAAACACTGAAAGTTTTTCAATATTTGACAAAAGAAGAAATTCTTCTATGTTTCAAAACCGAGGAGAATTGCACAAGCCTAAAAAATCCATTGATAATTTAAAATTGAAATTTTGTGAAAAAGAAGACAAATTTTCCATATCTGGTTTGAATGCATTTGTTAAAGTTTTTAAAATGGCTAATAATAATAATTATAAACATGTTTTCACTCATAATGGTCACAGTCCTGGTGATGAATTTTTACCAACAGTGACGGATCACATATGGTTAAATACAGGACATCAAGAATTAATAATATCCATTTGTGATAATAAAACATTAAATTGTTGGAATCATAATGAAAAACTTGAAATAATCTAAGGTAATTTCCTCAAAGTTTTTCCTTTTTTATTATAATTAAAAAAAAAAACATTCGAAAATGGTTTTTCATTTTCCACAATAGAGTAAAAAATCATTTACAAGCACCTTTTCTTACGTCATTATGACGTCATTTTTTGTTTATTTCCAGATCTGACAAGTATTATCTTTTGATGCTGTCATTAAAACGTCACCATTATAACTATAAACACCTGAAAAAACTTCATCGGAATGTCCTTGCAATACCTGATAATTCGATACAAAGAAAAAGAAAAAGTTGACGTTTAAAAAAAAAAACAGGTTTCTAAGGATTAATTTCGTTGTTATTATTATTATTATTATTAACATTACCTGAATGCAACAACCCGTGTCAGGATTCCAAATTCGGGCCGTTTTGTCGTTGGAAGCTGTCAACACTTGAGTTCCACCTGGATTGAAACAAACTTGAGAAACTTCATCTTTGTGTCCTTCCATCGTCGATATTAATTTAAAATTTGATGATACGTCCCAAACTCGTGCCGTACAATCCGTACTCGCCGTTGCTAATCTTTTACCGTAACAATCGAAAGCTATATCTAGTACCTGAAAAGAGAGAGAGAGTGTGAGCGTCACGTTTAATTCAATTCAATTCAATGAATAAAAATGTGTGGATTTTACATCGCTGTCGTGGCCCGTGATCGTCACGAGACAGGTAAACATGCGAGGATCCCAAATTTTAGCCGTTTTATCAACGGAACTGCTCGCAATTAAATCACAATCGAAATTGAAGAGAGCGTTTGAAATTTCATTTCGATGTCCTATCAAAACTCCGACTCTCCTAAAATGATCAGGTGATTTTTTTTTAATGTTATTTCGTTCCTTTTTGAAGAAACCTCCTTATCATCTTATGTTTACTTATTCGTTCTAGTATCCCACACGCTAACGGTACTGTCGAAAGAACTCGTTATCAATCGATTACCGGTTTTATCAAAATCTACAGTCGTTACTTCGGCCGTGTGACCCCGAAGAGTTCCCGTTTCTTGCCCTGGAAGAAAATTAAAAAAAAAAAAAAAATTTTTTTAGTACATTTTCTATCGGGGAATAATTTTATAATTCGTTTTACTATACCTGTCATGACGTCGAATAATTTTGCCGTTCTATCCATGGAACCCGTTGCGATGAGCTGTTGTTTTCCGTCGAATTTAGCCGTCACGACCTTATGAAAAAATATTTTTTTATTTAACGACATATTGTTTTTAAATTTAAAAAAAAAAAAAAAAGGAAGAAGAAACTCACTTCAGCCGTGTGACCCCATAAAGTTCTCAAACAATTTCCGGTTTGTGAACACCATAATTTGGCAGTTCTGTCGAATGAACCCGTTAATATGCGATTACTGTAAGAGAGAAAGAGAGAGATAGATAGATATATAGAAATTGTATTTTAAAAATTATTATTATTATTATTTTTGTTTGTTTTTAGCTAACCACGTGGGCATGTTAAAAGAAACTGAATAAACGGCATTTATGTGTCCCTCCAGTGTTAAAATTTCTTTACCATTTTCAACGTTCCAAACTTTACACGTTCGATCGTAGCTACCTGTTATGCACCTGAAAAATTGGAAAAAATTTTTTAATAAGGTGGAATAAAAATGTGATGGGAATGGTAAAGGTTTACCTTTGTCCATTTTTATCGAACGCGACGTTCGTCACGGGTAGTATGTGAGTTTTCAATGTTAAATAATTTTGAAATCTTTTATTTGCAGATTCTCGAAGTTTTATTTGTATTTTTTCTATCGTGTCACCCAATTGCGAGACAATGTTTTGCGTTATCAACGGTTCGTTTTTCGATATTTTATCGGATAGTTCTCGAACATCTGTTCTGGTAAACGACACAACAGGAAAAAGAAAATAATAATAATATCACCGTAAATGACAATAAAATGATTTTGTTTTTTAATAATAACTCACTTCAACGTCAAATCTAACAAATCTATCATTTTTGTTTTAGTTTCTTGATTTTGAACGTATTCGAGACCGATACCTGATTAAAAAAAAAAAAAAATCATTGTAAATTATTATTATTATTATTATTACGTTTAACGGGTACGCGATCAATGAGGAAAATAATTTACCTGGTGGATAATATCTCAATAAAAACTTTTTCAACTTCATTCTTTTAATAATAATAATAATACGATAATTAAACGATTCGAGGGGGAAGAAGAAAAAAAAAAGGAAAAAAAAAGGAAAAGAAAAGAGATAGAAGATAAAATCTCACTTTTTTTTTTATTTTGTTTTCAAATACTGTTAATAATGATAATAATAACAATAATAATAATAATAAATAAAGTAAATAAATAAATGGCGGATGTAGAAATGTGGAGGTGTTGCTTTGGAAACAACCGTTAAAAATTGATTTCGCGTTTCCCTCGTAAAAAATTTTAAATAATTAAAAAGCTGATTTTGTTAACGTAATACGAAATTTGTATTCGAATGTGAAAAAGGTCAAAGGTCATATTATAAATACGAGTTATCGTCGAGTAATTAATTCCGTTTACGTATAAAAGTAAAAATTTTCACAAACGAATAGAATTATATTTAACTTTGTATTTATTGTTTAATAAAATAAATTATTTATTTATTTATTAATAAAATTTTATTGTTTATTTAATTTGTTATAAATTTTTTTTAATTATTTGAATAAAATCGATTCGGATTTCATTTTAAAAAACTTTCAAACTTGGATTTTTTTTCCCCTCATCATGGCGAAAGTCCCGATTTTCGTTACGAATTTTAATGGCTGATTTTATTAACGTAATTTTAATCACGTGACAAATGAACGACAATTTAAAAAAAAAAAAAATAATTAATTAAAGTGTTTAAATTAATAATAATATAATACTCCTTATCCAAGAGAAAAAATTACAAGTTGTCGGAGGTAGGAGGCTCGTAGATTAGACAGAGTCATTTTTTACAAGAAATCTAGTGCCACGATTCAATAAGTTAGCCATTTGTAAAAAGCCATCATGACTTTTACGAATTTGGGGGTAAATAATAAATTGATTATTAACATTTGTAAATTTATTATTATAGTTTAATAATAATAAATAAATATATATTTTTGAAAGTTAGGTTATATATAAATAAGGGTGATTGATTGATTGATTGATTTTACAATAATTGTATCTAACATTTTAATTATGGCTTTGTCATTGAAAACAGCAAATTTACATTCTCATGAACCCCCAGCCAAAATTCAACCAAAGACCTTTCCAACCACCAGTACCTCCGTAAGTCCTTTTTTTCTTTTAAAATCCGATTTTATCTTAATTTCCTTTCTTTCATTGTTTACGTCATCATTTATAAATTGAATAAAATGTAACATTTCATGTGAAACAAGAAGAAAGAAAAAAGAAATTGTTTGTTTGATATGATAATGAGTTTAGTGTGTTTTAATTATAATATTTTTATGCTTAGATGGAGGTGGATGAAAAACCACACAAAGATGAAGGTTTCAGACCTTATTATGTCACAAAAATTGAAGAACTTCAGTTAATTGTGGCTGAAAAAAGTCAAAATTTGAGAAGACTTCAAGCTCAGAGAAATGAACTTAATGCAAAAGTGAGAATGCTTAGGGAAGAATTGCAATTATTACAGGTTTGTTTAAATAATTTTAGTCATTTATTATTATTATTAATTTGTATCGGTTTTCAATAAAACAATTCATTTATGAAATTTTAGGAACAAGGTTCTTATGTTGGTGAAGTTGTTAAACCGATGGATAAAAAAAAAGTATTAGTTAAAGTTCATCCAGAAGGAAAATTTGTGGTAGATATAGATAAAAATATTGATATAAATGATGTCACACCCAATTCAAGAGTTGCTCTCAGAAATGAAAGTTATACTTTGCATAAAATTCTTCCAAACAAGGTAATAAATTTTTTTCTTAAAAAATCTATTCGAATTTAAAAAAAAAAAAACTTAATTTTTAATTTAATAAATCTTAGGTTGATCCTTTGGTATCTTTAATGATGGTTGAAAAAGTCCCTGATTCAACTTATGAAATGGTTGGAGGTCTCGATAAACAAATAAAAGAAATTAAAGAAGTTATTGAATTACCTGTTAAACATCCGGAATTATTCGATGCATTGGGTATTGCACAACCGAAAGGTGTTTTGCTGTATGGCCCTCCTGGTACTGGGAAAACATTGTTGGCTCGAGCTGTGGCTCATCACACAGAGTGTACATTTATTCGAGTATCTGGATCTGAATTAGTTCAAAAATTTATCGGTGAAGGTAGTCGAATGGTTAGAGAATTGTTTGTCATGGCCAGGTACCTAAAATAAAAAAAATTTTATGAGATTTTTAAAAAATAATATTTCACCTGCAACACCACATCATAAAAATTTTTATTTATTAGAGAACATGCTCCTTCAATTATTTTTATGGATGAAATTGACTCGATAGGATCATCAAGAATTGAATCGGCCAATGGTGGAGATTCGGAAGTTCAAAGAACCATGTTGGAATTACTTAATCAATTGGATGGTTTTGAAGCTACTAAAAACATTAAAGTATATAAAATGATTCGCTATAAAACTCTCAAATTTGTTTTTTCCTTTTTAAATTAATATTTATCGTTTCATCATTCAGGTAATCATGGCAACTAACAGAATAGATATTCTCGATCCTGCTTTATTGAGACCGGGACGTATCGATAGAAAAATCGAATTCCCTCCTCCGAATGAAGAAGCTCGATTGGACATATTGAAAATTCATTCGCGTAAAATGAATTTAACAAGAGGGATCAATTTGAAAAAAATTGCTGAATTAATGCCAGGAGCATCTGGAGCCGAAGTTAAAGTAATTAATATTATATATATAAATATACAACGGATTAAACTTACTGAAAAGTAAAACAACAAAATAAAAATTTTATTATTTATTTTTAACGTTTTTTTTTTTTCTAGGGTGTATGTACCGAAGCCGGAATGTATGCTCTTAGAGAGAGACGTGTTCACGTGACGCAAGAAGATTTTGAAATGGCCGTTGCCAAAGTTATGCAAAAAGATTCAGAAAAAAATATGTCCATCAAAAAACTTTGGAAATAATTATTATTATTTGTTACTATTATTATTATTATTCAATATTGAAGTTTCTTTATCGTTCTTACATACAATTTGATTTTAGTCATTTTCTAAAAAACTAAACCAAAAAAAAAAAAATAATAATAATAATTTTTTTTAAAAAGAGTTTTTATGATTTTTACCACAGAAAATTTGTTATATTATTCGCTTGAATGTATATTGAGTTCAAGAGTTAAATATCATCAATTTTATTCGTAATTTCATTTTGATTATTTTAGGTTGTAATTTCCAATAATAAAAATTTTGATTTTTTAAATAAAAAAAATAAAAAAACAAATCTTTATTCTAGTAAATCGTTTTTTTTTCTCTTATATTCATCAACGTAATTTTACACATCCTATCATTGTTGAATAAAATTTTGTAAAAAATATACCAATAATACAACGTGGCAACGTTAAGAAAATAAATAAGTAATTAATCAAACAGAAATAAAAGCTTAAGTAAATTTTTACTAAGGTTTCAATTTACCTTAAGAAAAAAAAATTTTTTTGTGTAATTTGAAGGACGTTTTTAATAACGTATCGTTATTCGAAAGCGAGCGTAGATTTAATATAAAAACAACCAATCAAATTTCGAGTTCGTCTCTCTAAAATTGGCTTACATTAAAAAAAAAAGTTTTTTCAAGAAGGCAGTGAAAATTTTGTAAATTCAAAGGAAGCCATTTTGAAAGAAAACAAACATGAATGCCGCAACTAAAGCTAGTGTTTTGGGACAATTTAGTTTTGAAGGCGATTCTATTCCAGATTTTAGCGAATTCGATTCAACCTCCGTAATTGAAGACTATCAGGAAGATAGGTATGATTTTTTTCCATTGGTTTTATCCGCCCGAAAAAGTAACCAAATCTGATACTCTGTTTTCATTTAACAAATGTTAAAACATATTTTTTTTTTTTTTTGGGCTTTCAATTTGATATATCAGATTTATATATTTTATTACGTTTTTATTTTTAAAATTTATTATAACTTATAAAAAAGTTTCATACGAGTGAATATTAAATTAAATATTAACGAAATTATTATTATTATTTTTTTTTTGGGGTCCTTGTTAAAAAAAAAAAGAGGTCACTTTTCAAAACTAGTTTATGACGTCATCTTTTAGCCGCCAGTCATTTTGGACAATTTGTGTGTGTGTGTGTGTGTGTACCCCTCCCTGATTTATTTATTATTAAGGAGACTGACTTAAACAAAATTTTCTTGAGATTTTTTTCCTTTTTTTTTTATAATTTAAATTTTAATAATAATAATAATAATTTTTATGATAATGTGAAAAAATTTTTTTCATTGTCTAAAATTATCTTTTCTCAATAGAATTTTTGGCAGTCGATAAAATCTTTTTTAAAGCATTTATTCGTTGTTAACCGATTGTAAAATTTTAAAATTGATCAAAAATTTAACTTTTTTTATATCTATTTACCTTTTGTTCTTTTGTATAAATATTTTTCCACCATTTAATAAATGAATTTGAAAAAGTTTTAAACATTTGTCACACACACACACACACACATAATAATGTTGAAAAACGATTGTTAAAATATCGAATCCTTTTTTAAGCATTCATTCGATTTTTAAATTTTCATTACTATTCATTTAAATTTTTTGTTCAGAACTAATTTTGAAAATTGTACTTTTGTGTATTACAAACATCTCGATTTGATGGAAAATATTTATTTCCCCCCCCTCCCCTGTTTTTACCACATTTAAACTCCAAAAATTAATTAATAATAAAATTCGAATTCATTTGTACAATATTGTAAAACCATTCAAACAATATTTTACAATTGTTGTATAAATTTTTTCTTTTTTTTTTTTTTTACATAATAACAAAATGTTTTTGTATTAATAATGATAATAATTACAAAAACTGTGTTTTTTTATTTTTGATTTTTGTGAATAATAATAATAATAATATTGTGTTTGTTTTGTGAATTTTGTTTTTTTTTTTTACTTATTAGGCAATAATAATATTTATCGACAAAAAGAAAGATTTCCTGTTTGTGCTCGGATATTTACTTGGTAAGTTTAATTTTTTTAAAAAAATTTTTCCTTTCATTATTTTTTAAAAATTAATCTGCCAAAAAGTGAGAGAGAAAGAGAAAGAGAAAGGAGGGGAGAGAGAGAGAGAGAGAGAGGGGAAGAGAAAATTTCGAGTGGGTGTAAGATATACCCTTTGCCCTCTCTACGTCTCTCTCTCTCTCTCTCGTTTTCTATAGTAGAAAAAAGAAGTTTT